ATCCGAAATGCAAACTACATTCGATACATGCATGTCCCATGCAATCTGCAGCCCCTGTAATATACCAAGTAACTCTGCCTGCAAGATATTGGTCTCACCAATATTACCAAAATACCCCCGAAGCCATCTCCCATTTGAATCATGGAGTAAACCCCCAAAGTCAGCTCTTCTCTGATTACCTTGGCAACTCCCATCTGTATGCAAAGAAATCTGATCCCCTGTAGCCAGGATACAAGTAACCCAACGTTCTAGTCGAGGTGCAACGTCGTCACTCCCACCAAACGCACTAGTTGAAGCAGTCAAGAGTGCTTGGGCTTTAGCTACAATTGTTTGAGGGTATAAAACTTGTCGGTGAAAAAGAATGTTGTTCCTCGCTTTCCACATCTCCCACAAGAGAATAGGCACTATCAAACCCTCTTAGGAGAGGGCAGCATGCAGCCATGATAGTCGAGTGTGTGGGTCCCTTGAAGGGCCAGTAATCGCCAAACTAGTCAAAAGCCAAACTCTAGAAATCACATCACATTCCCAGAAAATATGATGGACATCCTCCGGGTACTGATGGCAGCAAAGACAAGTGGTAAATTCAATGATATGTCGATAATGTAGAAAACAACGCGTAGGCAAAGCATCATGACAAAATTGCCATAAAAAAAACACTAGCTATGCGGGGAGCTTGAGCTTCCACAACCATCCCCAACTACCATCTCTCCTTGGGGTAGATCTTGCCAATAACCACGCATATCCCGTACAAACTGAATAAACTCCCGATTCATCCCCCTGCCATGCAAGCACGTCAGGGATATCATGGTGTAAGTAGAGCCGCAAGTGGGAGAGTAATTCACGAAGATCATCGATTAAGGGTGACGCGATACGTGCTAGATCACAACACCCATCCGAGCTCACCACATGGCGCACCTCCAAGTCCACATCGTTGAGGTCGATGTATGTCATGCGAGAGGAAAGAGGTGATCCATCAATCCAAGGATTAAACCAAAAACTACACTCACCTTGCCCCAGCCTAAGATGAAATCCCTCTTCGAGCGCTTCATATGCTTTTCGTAACGATGAAAGGAAAAACGACCCAGAATGTTGCAACATGGAAGTTATATCGGCACCAAGGTATTTCCACTTAACAAAATGTACCCAGAGCTTCTCAAGCTTGTACATGAGGTCCCAAACTTGCTTACCAATAAGTGCCACATTTTGAAGCCTGGTAGGTCGGACCCCAAGCCCACCATCCTTCCTTCTCTGAGTGCTGGTTTCCCACTTAACTAGATGTAAACCACGTTTGTCTTGACCACTCCATAGGAAACGTCTAGCTAGCATGTCTAGCTTCTCACAAACTTGGTTGGGCAGCCATTGAATATGCATATTATACGTGGGAATGGATGTAAGAACAGAATTAACCAAAGCTAAACGCCTAGCTTTATTGAGAAGTCTCCCTCTCCAAGAGGAAAGACGCTGTTGCACCTTCTCCACAAGGTCCTGAAAATGTTGTGATTTAACCCGACCATGCACCATCCGATAGCCCAAATACTTGCCAAGAGAGGAAGAAAAATGTATCTGAGATATGCGAGCTAACCTACGACGACGGACAGGTGATACCCTCTGAGAAGCAAATGCCATAGACTTAGACAGGTTGACCCGCATCCCTGAAGCGTCACAAAATAAATCAATAACTTTCATAATAGTACGCATAGAAGAAGTTTTAGCTTTTGAAAACAACAATACGTCATCAGCAAAGAAGAGGTGTGACACGGCAGGACCACCTCGTAACCTATAGGGGGACCAAGAGCCTTCCTCAACTTCCTTTGTGATCAATAAACCCAATCTCTCCATACAAAGCACAAATAAATATGGCGAGAGTGGATCACCCTGTCGAAGCCCTCTCCTAGGAGTGATGGTTCCTGTTTTTTGGCCATTCCAGAGAAGACATAGAGAAGCAGAAGAAACCCCATGCATGATAAGAGAGATAATATGTGGAGGAAACCCAAGATCAATAAGAACACGCCGCAGGAAGCTCCAGTCAACACGATCATACGCTTTCTCCAAATCTAGTTTCAGAATTAAATCACCCTCCACTCTTTGAGATTTGGACATGGAATGTATGATTTCTTGTACCAATATGGCATTATCATTAGTGCTTCTACCTAAGAGAAAGCTACTCTGCATAGGGCTTACAATGCGATTCAAAATCAGACGAAGACGGTTGACGAGCACTTTTGATATTAGCTTATGTAAGACATTACACAAGCTAATAGGTTGAAAGTCCTTCAAATGACGAGGGCCCTCATGCTTCGGAATAAGAACAATCAATGTTTCCACAGCTTGAGGATCAAAGAAACTTGTAGCAAAAGCAGTGCGCACGAAGGACCACACATCATCCCCCACCACATCCCAATACATCTTGTAAAAGATAGGTTGAAAGCCATCGGGACCGGGGGCTTTATAAGGCTTCATCTCCATCAGCGCTTGAAAGACCTCCTCTTTAGAAACTGGCGCACCTAACAAAAGTTGGTCATCATAGTTAAGCCTCATTAAAGGATCCGGATCCCTTAACGGTCGGACCTCCTCTGCTTCCCCAAATAGAGTCTGGTAGAATGAATAGGCCGCTTGCTGCAACAGGGCAGCATCAGTACACCACTCCCCTGATGCTAGAAAGAGTCCATGTACCTTACTACACTTCCAACGAACCACTGCTTGTGCATGGAATAAAGAAGTATTACGACTGCTAAGCTTAATCCATTGCTCTCGATATTTCTGGTACCACAAAGTCTCCTCCTGGAATAGACAAGTCTCATATTGTTGTTGTAGATCATGATACAAGGCCCAGGATCTCACCGAGTCAATACGTTCCAAGTACCGCTCCAACCCTCGAATACGTGCTTGGAGTTCTCTCTTTCTCACAAAGATATTACCAAACACCTCCTGGTTAAAAGTGATAGATGCCATCCTTACCTGATTTAACGCATTCAAAACGTTCCCAGAATGGCAATTCCAAGCGTCGTGTACCACCTTACAATAGGCTGCATGGGTACACCAAGCAGCTTTGAATCGAAAAGGAAGATCACCCCGAGGCTGAGGAAACCCTCCACATCGAAGCAGTAAAGGGTTATGGTCCGAGTGACCACGAGGGAGGACCTCCACCACTGCTTCCGGGAACTTGGTACGAAACAAAATGTCACACACAGCCCGATCAAGGCGTTTGTGTAATGAAAGCCCATTACGCCTTCTATGCCAAGTAAACTTTGCCCCCATCAGGTTCAAATCCAACAATCCACATAACTCCAGCTGCTGAGCAAAAATATCAGCCCTACCTATATCAAAAGTGCCTCCTCGTTGTTCGGATGCCACCATTATATCATTAAAATCTCCAATCAAAAGCCACGCCGACTGAGATGTCTCACGTAACATGTTAAGTTGATGCCACATCTCTCGACGAGCAGGAGAAGATGGACTAGCATATACACCCGTAAAAATCCAGGACTGCCCGGAAGTTTTGATGGAAATAGAAACTGCCTGCGAAGTCATTGCAAAGGATTGACATTGCACCGTATTCCCTATCTTCCATAGAGCCCAAATACCCCCAGAGTGACCACGAGCCTCTTGAATAGCCACCACCTGGTAGCCAAGACGATCCCAAAATCCTTGGCAGGTATTAAACAATGTGTGAACTTCGAACAAGAACACAAGGTCAGGTTGACCTCTTAACACACAATCACGAATATGCAATTGATTGCGCCTTCCGAATGCTCCACTCACATTCCAAGCCAGAATTTTGAGATCAATCATTGAACAGATTGAGAAAAAGTACCTGGCACCCACCAGACCATATCATGTCAGTACCGGAGGTATATCCATCGCTTCTCCCTCCTCACTAATTAAAACATCCATATTGAGAGAATGTGTGTCATTACTGCCAAGTTCACCCGGGTCAGGTGGATCACCCATATATTGGGGTCGTCCATGTCTTTCCTCAATGACAGGGAGAGTCGAACACTTCGATAGTTCGCATTGCCATTGATGATGCTTATTGGAAATTAAAGACGAAGCCGAATTCATACTATGCGATAAAGATCCTCGTTGCATGCCCATATTCACATCATGCGTAGGTCTATGTAAGATCAACGAGGATGACTTACCATTCTTGGACTCCACTTGTGGTCTTTTCTTGGAATGCTCCATAGGATACGTATTTGTTGCCACATGTGGGCTTGCCACCTCAACACCCTCCGGGCCCATTTCTTTCATATTCAAATTAATATTTTGTGTCATATTACGTAGAGCTTGGAATCTATTACCCCCGAGATTTGTGTTATCGTGGTTATTGTCATTAAATGGTCGTTTGGAAATCTTGCCAAATTGAAACCTCTCTGATTTACGCGGTTTAGTAACAACTAACCAATCACCATGCATTTTGTCGCCAAAAATCACGGGATTAGTTATAGTGTTAGGGTTAGATTCCTCTTGACCTGGCGCCGCCAAGCCACCCCCTCCGGCACCTTCCGATGGAGAACTAGATGGACCTTGCTTATCAACACCGAAGGAGGAGCTTGGGGAAGAAGGACATGCTCGTGTCACATGCCCATAACAGCCACATTCCCCACATAAGAGATGAAGTCCTTCATATTGTATCTTGAACCAATTATTCCGAAACCACACCTTACCCACAACTGGTTGATGAAGATCAATCTCTACACAAACTCTCGCAAATCGTCTGCGTGTTGCATTCAACGTCATCGTATCTACTTTAAGGGGGCGACCAACAGCTGACGCTAACGCTAGTAGAACATTCTCCTCATAATATTCCATGCCCAAACAAGGAAAGCGCACCCAAACCATAGTCTTGTCTATTTTTGTCTCTGACGCCACAAAATCAGGAACCCATTTGCGCACTGCAAGGTAATGGTCAAACAGCATCCAAGGTCCACCAGAAATCACCTTCTCGCGATCCTCACTTAAGTCAAACTTAACTAAGAAGAAACCGCATCCCACATCCATCACATCTCGTATCCACAAGCAAGTTTCCACACACCTTTAAGACGATCCCGTAGAGTAAGGTAGCCAACCTGCTTCCCTAACAACTTCACGATTATAGCCTCTTGCCAGGGAGCCCTCAGCTGTTCCACCACGTTTCGTCCAAAAAAACAACGAGGTTTAAGTTGATTGCCATCTTCAAATTCGATTCGAAAGAGACTCTGCCCAATGAGATCCGCTTTTGGCATGCGTGGTAGTGGGGCTTTGTTATTCATCACTTTATCACGAAAAGAAACATGTTGTCCCCAGTGTCAGGCGGCTCTAGCGTCACGTCGCTTCTCTCCATCACATCACTCAAAGATAAAAAAAAAATTCGTATAATGTCAATATTGTTACTCTCAACTTTATATTTATGATATAATTTGAGAGTCAAAATTAAGTAAAAAAAAAAAATCTCATTCAATTATTCATATTTACATTAATAATTTATTATCTTTTAGTTTTCAAATGATGTTATTTAATTTATATAGATTGTACATGTCACTTAGATAAATAAATAAATAAAACATTATTCACTTAAAAATTTTTAAAAAAAAGTATGTGGTTTAAAAAGATCTCAAGTTAATACAATTTTCACATATAGCAATGAAAGCCTATCATTTCATTTTAGTGAAACAACTGCATTTAATTTTGTTTTATTGGATATTAATGCCTTTTTAATATTATTCAATTATTTGTATATTTAAAATTATATGATTATGTGTATGGAATCATTATGGGAGAACTTATTCTCTATATAAAAATTTACTGAAGTAGCTGTACTTAATTTTGTTTTCCTGGTGGATATTATTGTCTTTTTAATATCATTGAATTATTTGTAGGGAATCATTATCAATTTTTTTCCTGGATATTAATGTCTATTTAATATTATTCAATTATTTCTAGGGAATCATTACGGAGAACTTGCTTTATAATAAGATAAGATACAACTACTTTTTATTAAAAGCTTAAATATGTTTTTATTCATTCAAATTTAAGATAAATTTGTTTTTGGTCTCTTAAATTCAAAACTGTTATTTTTAGTTCCTGTAATTTTTAAAAATTTTATTTTTTTTCCTTAGGTCACTAATAACATATTTGAAAGTGACTAATTAAGACAGTTATGCAATATTAACCGGATTAAATGTGATATTTTTACTAATAGAAACACCAATAGGTAGATTTTGTGCAATAATGTTCGATAAATTTCTTAACAAAATTTGAATATAAGGACTAAAATAAGATTTTTTTGAAATTACAAGGACTAAAAACAACAATTTTAAATTTGAGGGACCAAAAATATATTTACCTTAAATTTAAGGGACTAAAAACATATTTAAGCTAATTTTTTAATATTAATATTTTCAGCTGGTGCAACACGCATTTTTTTACATGCAACACGTAATTTTATTATATATAGTTAAAATTTATAATAAATAATATATGAATAAATATTATATTTAAATATATAAATTATATTTAAAATTTATATAAATAAATGTTT